TAGATAGATAGATAGATAGATAGATAGATAGATAGATAGATAGATAGATAGATAGATAGATAGATAGATAGATAGATAGATAGATAGAAAGATATCACATCTTTAAAGTTTAAGTTAATTTGCTTTAAAGAGGGGTTCTATGGAGGATTTATAAACAAGAAATATCTAACCTGTTGACCTCAGTCTGGAGAGTGTGATGGCTGTAGTCAGACTGTCATGATGGTTTATGAAAATGTTATTTGATAAATCTTTACTCTGAGTAAATCTTGACTCAGATCTATCACCAGATAAACACATAAAAAACCTGGTTTCCACTTGCTATTTTCAGCTCTGTAATATCTCAAAACTCCGGCCCCTGCTGTCCACTTCAGACTTGGAAATGGTAATTCATGCCTTCATTTCTACCCGCTTAGACTATTGTAATAGCTTGTTCACCTGTCTTAACCAGAAACAGTTAATTCGTCTTCAGCTTGTGCAAAACTCAGCAGCGAGACTCCTAACCCAAACTTCCAAATTCACCCACATCTCCCCGATCCTAGCAGAACTTCACTGGCTTCCAGTTCAATTCAGACTCCAGTTCAAAATCCTGGTCCTCACCTTCAGAGCTCTTCATGGCCAAGCCCCAGAATACATTAAAACTCTCATTTCCCCTTACAACCCCAGACGGAGCCTCCGCTCACAGGATCAACATCTCCTTATGGTTCCCCTCACTCGCTTTAAGACCCGTGGTGACCATGCCTTCTCCTCTGGCCCCCAGGCTCTGGAATGAACTCCCTTTAATCTGCGCTCCCTTGATAACATTGTCTCTTTCAAGACACTCCTAAAACTCACTTTTTCCCTCAAGCGTTTAGCTAACCATTTCACCATTACTGCCAGCCTACCTCCATTGGGAATGCTTCGCTAATCGTTGTTTTCTTTACTATTGAACTTAAGCCATATTTTCTCTCCCACATTCATTATGTTTTTGTGTATTACTGTATATTTTGACCTGCACTGACCTTGTGTTTGATTTACAATTTTATGCTTATGTGTAATTATGTTTTTGTTTCATTTTATTCTTTTCACCATTTTAATACTGTTAATGATTGTACAGCACCTTGTGCATATATTTCTGTGAAAGGCGCTTTATAAATAAAACTTTACTTGCTTACTTACTTACTTGGAAGTGCAATGGCTGCTGCATTTTTATCTATGATGAATCATGCAATGCAAAACTGATTGAAAAGTGCTGTAGAGACAAAAACAATTGTTAAAAGTCTTCATGCAAACTATAAGTTTTTAAATAAATGAATAAGATAATATAAAAACTGAACTGAATCAAAAGGACTAACAGGATTCAGTTACAAGCAGCTAAACTTTATTTACAGCAAAACAGAAAAACATCTCTTGACAGAAGAGAGATACAAAAAAAAATAAAAAAATGTGATACAGCAGCTTGTCTACTTTGTTTTCTCTTCTGTTTTTCAGATTTTCATCCCACTTTTCGTCTGTGGGAGGGTGTTTTATCGCTCTGAAGCATCACAGTGATTATTCAGCCGGGTCACAATGACAACAGCAACAAATCAAATGAGTCAGATATAAAACAAACAACTAATCGAAGTAAACTGAAGGAAGAAGTGACTCTTTTGGTCTTGTTTTGTGGCACTGGACAACTTTAAAGTTTTCCAGTAAACTTTAAAGAATTAAAGTTTAAGAGCTTATGAGGATCTAATTAAATCAGAATTAACCCTGTGGAACTAACTAAATCAAAGTTGGATTTAAAGACTCTTTATTAGAAGGAAATACTTCTAAAAACAGGCATTCAGAAAGTTAATTAACAGATGAATTAATGTTTTATTTATCTGGTAAAAACTAACTGATTCTAATCGCTTAAATGTGACTACTTTGATTTAAGAATAAAGAGCTACTTTGTAGAATCATTCATCTGAGTTTTTAAATAAAATCTGATCAGATTCTTCAGTCACCATGTAAACATTGTATGAAAATGATGCAAATCCAAAATTAGCCACAAAAAATAAAAATTTAAAGTACAATATTTGCATTCTCTCTTAAAGTGCTTGTGACATTCATACAAAAAAATCAAAGAAAAAACATTATATTGAAGAAACCTGTCCAACTACACATGATTTTACCCATTTTGTCACATAACTGGCATATTTTCTTTTGAACTTGCCAAAGTGAAACAGAAAGTGGCATCAAAGTGGAATTGTTTCGGAAAGAAAACTCTGGTCTTTGTTTATTAAAACAATATTGTTTAAACTCTGATTCTTCTTCATCTCTTTGACAGTGACTCAAAATAATCTAATGAAACATCAGATTCTTCTCTACAGTTATTGTAGCAACACTCTGTTCACGATCAGACGTTCCCTTTTGACATCACTTCCTGTTTCTTCACATGTGAATATCTCAACAAGTGTTCATCTGAGCAGCGTGAAGTTGTTTTCCCAATATGTTATTGTTATTTTTTCAAAAATGTATTTATATTTAATACAAAAATTTGATGTCACAGACACTTTAAAGTGACTTTGCCTGAAAAAGGTATTTGATAAATAAAATAATGGTACAGGTTGTGTAACTTGCAGCTGATCTTCAGTCAAGTTAAAACAGCTGAGTTTCTCATGAGTCTGGAATACATCAGATTAAAACAAAAACAAGCCAGTATGTTAGTTTATTGGAAAATGTGACAGAAGGTCTACAAGTTGCAAATAATGATGTTATTTTTTCAACTGTAAGAATAAATAGAAGCAATAATTTAATTATGTGAGTTTTATAGAAGCAGCAGCTGTAGAGCTGACTTTAAAGGGGTAGTTTGGATCGTTAAAAACATGACAAGCATTTTTATTTACTTGTTGCAGCTTTTTCGGCAGCCTCAGATTGGAGGAAAAAAGTTTAATTGTGACTGAACTGATGAGCTAAATAGCCAGTCTGAGCAGATTCAAGACCAATGATTGCTGCTGATTGAAAACAACTCTAAGCAATCTCCAACAATTTATAAGAGTTCATGCTATTTTGTAAACGTTTACACAGCTATTCTGTTAGAAATATTATCATTTGAATCCAGTTGAATGTGTCACAGGCTGCACAGGAAGTGCTACAGCCAGCTGCTGCTTCCTGTGCAAATAACCACAAAGGTTTAAATAAATTATATTTAAAATTAAAGATGTTTAAAATATGTTTGCACAAAGCATCTTGAATTATCTTAAATGACGTTCTTTTAAGATGACAGCTATCTGCAACAGGTAAGATAGTGATCATTCATCACGTTTCCAAAGGACCCCACTTCAAATGAAACTGTTGCTTTAAAGCTGTTGATTCTGTTTTGCACGTGTGCATCTTCTAGTTCATCATAACTGTAAGTGAAGACAAGCTTCAGTTCAGCTCTGAGCACCACCACACGGTACAGGTCAGGAGGGAAAAGAAGAAGAAGAAAACGTGCATTCAAATAAGAGCTGCAGATGTTGGACTGTGGCCAGTAGAGGGCGTCAGATAGCTGTTAAAGCTGGGGGGTGGGCTCTGTGTTTAACCCAGCTGGCTCTGCACCGGGGGGCTGTTGGTGGTCATGATACAGTTGTTTGATCCAGAGCAGAACAAGCTGCTCTTAATGTTCTTCATGTGATTTGCTCCAAAGCTTCACGGTTCACAACATAAACCATTGAGTGCAGTTATGTACAAGAAGATAGAAACTTGTATCTTTAACAAACATGTAAAACAAGAACTTCTGATATTCTTTAACTTATCTTCATATTTGTTTTTACAAACCTTAACAATTTGTATATTTTGCAGAGTAATTCAACAGTTATTCCGTTGGAAACTAATATTTTTACTTAGACTGGTCATCACTATGATCGTGTTACTATGGAGCTAAACTGATGATGTCATGTTTTTATGTTTTACTTTACCGAACTTGCAGTTTGGTAAAAAGCAGAAATAGTCCATGTTTTGAGTTCTGAATGTAAAAACTATGTTCACTCTCAGTTTTCGAGACCAGCGTTTTACATCGTACATTTCCAAGTGCATATAAATTCCTGCAGCACTGCAGCATCTTTGTATTGTACCGCAGCCCCCCCGCCTCTCCCTCCCTCCCTTTATCTCCTCTGTCACTAAACCAAACCTGTAATGTATTTCCAGGGAACACTTTCCCTCCTCATTTACATTCTTGTTTACTTTATTTTCTTGCTTCTGCTTGTTCAGGTCTCTTGGTCCAATGCAGTTTTTTAAAGTCTTCAGTTTTTTTTTTATTTATAAAATCTGTTTCCTTAATGGCTGCTGTTCTTGGATTTGATCCCCAAATCACCTTTTTTTGTCTTGTGATCATCTGAAAGGATGTGTGATCAAAGCTCAGGTTTTCCTCCCATCTACATTTAAAATGTGCAGTACAGATGAGTCTCCTCTGGACGCTCCCTCCTCCTAACAGGGGGAGGCGCTCATGTGCACGTGGGTGTGATAGTGAGGGGGAGACACGGGGGGTGGCGGCATGGTCATGGGAAGAGCTTGACCCTGAGGGTGTGAGGGGTGCGACCTGGGCAGGGTGTGCGTGGAGGGGTATCCGGCAGCCTGTGGGGGCATCTGGTAGCTGCCTGCCGAGGAGGAAGCAGAGGGGGGACTGATATGCCCGCCCACTTGGAGGGTGGTCTTTGGAGGCGCCGGCGGCGTCTGGTTGAGCTGAATGGAGATGTCGCTGGAGAGCTCCGAGGTGCTGCGGCCTCGCTTCGGTGGGGGCCAGGAGGATTCTGGGTGCAGGTACTGGCCACTGTAGTCGCTACCCTCGGACAGGCGGGGGCGGTAGATGGTGGGGTGGGGGCGGTACATCTCCTCTTCTGCGTATCTTTTCATGAACAGATAGACGGACAGCACACCAGCTCCCTGTGAATGAGAAAAACAGCAAAGCAACATTAGAGAAAGTTCAAATATATGAGTGTTGTGGGTCTGTGAACACTTAATGTTATGTAAAAAAATAATTTATTGTCCGTGTTTACAGCATGTAAACATTCATAAAATAATGTTTACAAGACATTTTTCAGACTGTAGTAGTTTGAAGTTGATAGAATTCTACTTTGATTTTGGGGACATTCAGACTAGCTGTTAGCTCATCAGACTGGTCAGAATTAAACAAATATCTACAACAGGTAAGATACTGATTGTTCAGAGCTTTTCCACAGAACTACACTTCAAAAGATCTAAACTGGGAGATCTGCTGAAGATGAAAAACTGCTGATTATTTTCTGGTAGTTTCATTATAATCCATTCACCAGATTATGAGATATTTTGTTAAAAGACACAAACGAACATTTGTACATAGGCAAATATGATATCACCCACATTTCATGTCAAAAAGGGTGATCATAATATGTGCCAAATAACTGTGTTAAAATAAAACAATTTTTGCTTCATTATAAAAAATAAAATTTATAATAATATATTGAAATGTTATTTAAGAGAGCTTAAGAACGATTTGATTACTTTTGTTCTTATTGTTAGCAGTTTATCAAAGGGAATATAATACAATTTGTTATAAAAATCTTGTGCTGAATGAATGGATTGAACAGTGAATAAAAGTGAGAAAAACATTCTAAAAGTTTGTGTGTTTAATTTCATATTTTTACATATTTTGCAATATTGTTTGTGGGTTTGCAAGTGGGGCCACCAGACATAAGCTGATGCTGTCTGCGAGGCCATGGCATGAAAACTCACACTGGCTACCCTAATTTTCTACTCACACACACACACACACACACACACACACACACACACACACACACACACACAC